AATAAACAAGATAACATATCGTCAAGTGACAAAGCAAAAAACAACGAAGCAAACAAGTATCACAAGTATTAAAGTAATGTAACTTGATTACTTTCTGTTACTTTTGGAGTACCTCAACACCAAATATGAAAAGTAAACAGAGTAGAAGAAGTTGAGGTGGCGAACTTGAAACAAAACCAGTTTTTGCCAAATGCCAGTAAACCTCAAAGAGAAGAAGAAAGCTAGCGTGGTAGCTTGTAATGGCCATGTTTCATGCTATATGGAGGCGATGCAGTTGTTATCTGTACACAAGCTCTTTGTCTGTGAACAAAATGTCATATTAATGTTCTGTTTTCTTTATGATTTGTTTGTTTTCTGCTGTATAAAGTGGAAATATATAACTGCATTATTTAAAATTACTGAACATTTAGCTGTAAAGCGGCTGCAACTTTTTTTTCTCACTTTTAAGATATTTTTAGTCACTTCCTGCGACCCGGCACAGTGTATGCAGTTGTCAAGCACAGAGTGTCAGAGTGGGTAGTACACTAGGGAAACATCAGTGGGAAACAATCTCACCACTGGGTCGAGTTAGGAAGCTCCAGAGCAGCCACTAAACAGACCTTGTGGGGAGATTTTTTCAAGTTTAAAAATGAACTTTTGGGTTTTTGCCTCTCGATGGGTGAACAGAGTAAAAAGTGTGTGCATTATGTGTGTATTATCTTTAACCCTGCTGTGTCTCAGATATGTGGTGTCCCTCTCTGGCGCGTTAGCAGTAGTAAACTCAGTGCCGTGCTTCGCTCTCGACGGTCAGTGGATGCTAAACGCCCTGCTGGAGGCCACGCTGGTTACTGTGGTAACGGACCGTCAAAAGCGCGAGCTGATTGGTTTCTTCCTGCTGCTGGCAGGCAGCGCCCTGCTGGCAGCCAACGTGGCTCTGGGCCTGTGGATGGTCACGGCGCGGTAGCCACAGCAGTTAGCTGCCCTGGCAAGACAAAAACTAAATGAATAAACCCCCATGTGGACTGAGAGTTGTTCTCTCAGGGTGTGTTTGACACATGTGGACCATTAAACTGTGAACATACAGGGGGACTGCATTACCCAGCAGTACTGCCCAATTTGTGGAGACTGTTGAGCAGAATATTACTCTGCCTTTAACGCTTTACTGGACCACCAGGGAAAACTTTAAACAACTGACTTCCACCTTGTTGCCGCCATATACACAAAAGCACATATTCAGATAAATAATGCACTTGCTGTAAAGCACTGTCCTATGCGACCGTTTACAAAGACTGCACAATCTTTCCAAATCTTGATATCTGTACTGTGTTTGTGTATGAAGTTGGAGAGAAAACGGTTATAATTTTTCAAGGGATTGATTCCAAAATGCCATATTTCCTCTGTTGGAACCACAGGGAGGTTTTGTCTGCCTCAGCTTTTAGTGTGTTGCAGAGAGAACAAATGAATCCAAGCCATCTTTGGACAAAAAAAGTTTAAAAAGCCTTCATTTTATCAGCAAACGCATGGCAACACCTAGATCTTTAACTCCATATCACTGTTGGAAAAACTTTGCTACCTATTATTCAAATTAAAAGAACTGCGTCTTTATGAGCAAATACACAAGTTAGTTAATTAAATAGGACAGCTAGTCATTGGAACCTTTTTAAAGGTGGGTATCCTACAACTTCAAGTGTCTTCTCCTCGGGCATTGTAGTGGGAAAACTTTTTTCCCACCTTTTCTCAAAGTGTAAGTTTCATTTTTATTCTCTCGGCCTGTCACTGTCTGTGATCTGATTTGTCAAAACTGTGGAATAAAGGACTAATTTTATTTAAGAGCTTTCTTTAAAGCCGTTATTAATTAATAAAATAATTTTGTTCTGTTTCATTAACTGTGTTGTCTTATTTTGGTGTTATAGTCCACTCCAATATTGGGGCACTGGAGCAGAAAACATTTTGTTACATTTTTCTGTGGTGTTGAATGTAATTACAAGAGGTGATAAAAGGTCACAGAAGGGATTTATGAAATTTGAACCATTTAAGCAAATTAATAAAAACTCTGACCACAGATTACCTTTCCTGTTCAGAGAGACTATCCTAGCACACATTGTGAAAGAGATAAGGTACACCGCTGGGCAATGTCTATCACAGGGCTAATGCAAACTTAAAATTAAAAAAATACTCAGAGGGGATTCCTTAAGACAAAATCCTATTAAATTGGCGTTCTGTGATCTAATGTGCATGACATAAAAGCATTTTGGAACCTCTGGTATAAACTACAAGGAGGTATGAAGTATGTGTACACTGGAAAAGAGGCATGTACAGTTAAATACAGGTTAGAGTTCAAAACGGAACACAAAACCATCCATAATCCAGTTCTTAGTGACCATTTCTTTGTGTTCACTGTGCTGTGTGCAGTTATAGCTTTATATTACGTGCCCACTCACATGAATCAAGAAATGGATGTGAAGTTAATTCCTATTGACTTTATGGCCCCCATTAGTATTTCTTTTTTTGTATTGCACACTAATAGTTAAACATCCTTTATGTTTTATATAATTCGAGAAAGGCGTGCTTAAAATTGCCTCTCTCAAACATTCAGGTAACCCGGTGTTCCCTCTCAAGAGATTGCTTCAACTGCAGAGCGCCTTTCTAATTTTATACCCAACATATTCCCCGCGCATTGGCACATTGTCTTCCTTAGACACTGGAACAAAAGCACACATGCTACACTTTTAGTAAGCGCTCCAGACCGCAGTGTTAATTTTGTGTTTTCAAGGAGTCGTGCAGTGATTACGTTTCCTGAGTGTGTGAGCGTGAGAGATGACACATGGTAATTTGGAAGGGTGTTTCCCACAGACGTATAAATACTGAACAGCCTTCAGCATAGCCACAGAGGTGTGTTTACCAAGGATGAGCAGACCCCTCTGTCAGCAGGTTCAAAATTGTTGCCTTACGAAAGACTTTTTCATTGAATAATTGGGGGAGTATGTGGAGGATCAGACCCTGTTGCATGCAGGGGTTGGCGACTTTGCGTGTGTTTGTTTGTGTTCAGATAAGACATTTTGAAGGCTGATTTTCTTTCACCTCATCTGTGTGAATAGATTGCTTGTATGTTTCTGTTTCTTATCTCGTGCTAATGACAGCCTGGAGCGATGTTTGGGTAAACAGACATGGGGGGGGGGATGATGGAGAGTGCAGAAGGGAGGGAGGCATGTTCTGACTGTCCACTTCATATTGAGAGATGGGGCCCGTGAATTAACTCTGTGACCTCCTCTGTGCTAACAGGACTGTGTGGCTGTGCTCTGAGCTAAATGATCACATGACATGCTCACACTGACAATGCTAGCATGTTTATGTGTAGCGGATATAATATATTTTAGAGCTTCAGCGTGCTAACATTTCCTATGTAGTACTAAATACCAAGTTTAGTTCAGTTCAGTTCTTCCCCTGGGGGACATGAATGTCTAAAATTTGAAGGCAATCCTCCAATAGCATATAATAATAATAGTTTATATGTAAAACAAAAATGTAAACCTCACTGCACTAAAAAAAAACCGGGATCAACAAAGTCAGCAGGATTTATGCTGTGAAAAACAAGTCTGTATAAAATGTCAAATCTCAAAGTAGTCCAGACATTTCATTGTAAACCAAATTGTCAGCCTTTTAGTGGCGCTAGGATATATTGTCTGGGAGCTGCGATTTTTAGTGCAGAATTTGGAGCCACTCGATGAAGTAGATGGTGAGATATTTCACTGAATAAGTGGTAACTTTGGTGGCGCAAGAGGAAAAGTCAGTCAGGAATCATCCTCTGCAGAGCACCGATGTCAAAATTCTATGGAAATTTATCTAATATTTGTTGAGATATTTCACTAAAAAGCTAAAATGGCGACCTCTAGATGACACAAAATCAAAAGTCCGGAGATCACCAAAGTCAGCACGAGTTATCCAGTGGAAACATGAAAGTCTGTATAAAATTACATGCTTGAGAGAAGGTCATAAGAACACATCATTTGGGAACCCTGAACATTAGTGCACGATTCTGACCCAAGCCACGCAGTAGATATTGAGATATTTCACTGAATAAGTCAGAACTTTGACCTGTTGGAAAAGCCAAGAGATCACCAGAGGCAGTAGGATACAACCTCTGGGGATCATGAATGTCCCAAAATGCATCACTTCACATAAATCAATTATAGCAATGCATTGAATAGTTGTTGAGATATTTTAGTCTGCACCAAAGTGGTGGACTGACTGACAGGCCATAATAAAGCCACACTGCTAACATGACTGAAAATTAGACGCTAAAAGAGGAGCAGAGACAATCAAAACTGGAGTAAAAGGTCCCAGTTGAGATGTTAAACAATAAGAATAAAAACAGGACACAAGTGATTGTGAGTCACAATGGTGAACAATAGCGCCGTGGTCAATGTGTCCGCTTGATGAATGGGTGTTTTAGCAGCACAGGAAGTCATGTCTATATGAGGACTTTGTGGCCGACGCCCCAAACCCTAATGAGCACGTGCGGATAGGGTTCTCACCACATGGGGGGGAGGTTGAGTACTAACCAGGAGCTGTGGTGTCACGGCCATCGCCACCTCTGTCCCTTCAAAGAAACCATCGATGCATTCTGACAAAAACACTGATGTGTTTTTACAGGCGGCGACGTCATCATCATCATCAGATTAATCGATTGTAATCAGTGGCCTCTGTGTGTGTGTGTGAGTCTAATTTAGTTCTGGTCTACTGACTGTCTGATCTGATAAATGTTTGGAGCAGAGCACCCTGCTGCTTTGCACAAGAGATTAGACACACATATAATGCACACAAACATTTCACATGTACGTCGCTTCTAATGGTTACGCTATAACACGCACAGATAATGTTCTGGTTTTAGTGATTTTATTAAATTATCTCATGTTCATCACTGGAAGGCCTGGTCCCTTCTGTCCTGGAGGGAGGAGAGGAGAGGAGAGGAGGAGTGTTGGGGGAGAGGAGGAGTGTTCGGGGAGAGGAGGAGTGATGAGGGAGGGAGGAACAGTTTGAAGAGCCAGGGTGAAGTTAGAGTAGCTACAGATAGACTGGGAAAGTGAATAAAGTATGTGCTGTTAAACTGGGAAAGAGACCAGAAGATAGAGAGAGGGAGTGTGTCCATTCTGGAAGATATTATTATAACTATTTGGATTCAATTTTATCCATAAATGTCAATTTTTTAAATCCAATTTTTCTACCAAATATTTTTGCTTTCTTTTCAGTTAATCTGAAGCGTCCCCCACCTGAAAGCTAGATTTTTTTTTGTGTGAGTGTGTGTTTTTATGTGTGTGATACAGTAAGTCATGGAACTGGAGCGTTTAGGTGGCGGTGGGGTTAAACCCGAGAGGGGCAACTGTCTCTACAGGATAGCACTGGCCATGTGTGTGTGTCTCTGTGCTGCTCTGCTGCTTGCGCTCATGCTGGGTAAGTCCACATACACACACACATTTTTTGTCATCCGGCATTATAATTTGTAAGGAATTCAGTGGAAATGTATCGTACTGTACGCACGCTGTCCTCAGATTATAGTACAGAGACTGTAAATAACGCACAGAAGCACTCTGGTGGGAGCAAAGGTCTTTGTGGAGGGCTCCCGGGTAACTTGTGTCAAACTATTTTTGGTTCATATAAGGTTTCATACACGCCCACATGCACATGCAGAACCTTTCCATAAAGCACTGTGGGAGTCAAATTGAACTGAAGGGAAGAATGTGTATGTTGACACTTTGTGGGCTTTATTTTCTGCAGAATGTGGATGTTAATTAGTGGGGAATTGTGTGGCGGAGTGATGACGGTGTATGTGTATGTGTCTGTTTATTTATAGGGGGCAGTGCACATTAATTAACACTGACGGTTTAGAAAACTTTCATATAGATGTGCCAACAACAAGAGATGAGCACCCGCGGTTTAGCTGAAAACACTGGAAGGATAAAAATAAGAGAGAAAATGTTGCAATACTTTGACCTGATGAACTTTGGCAAGGCAAGCGCATTTGTATATCAGTTTCAACAACAACTTTACATAAGTGTAAGTGTATAATATGTTAAAGAGGTAAACAGTGTTTCACAAAGAATCACATTTTACAGATTTAAAGCTGCAGTAGGTAATTTTTAGTTATAAACTTGCTAAAACTTTCCTTATAGCTTGACAGTAGTACACGGACACAGAATCTCATGCCGTGAAAGATAGCTGATTGTTGAGTCTCATTCCCAGGGCATCAAACACAGACGCTTTGGGACTCCGACCCAAAGCATATTTATATCTTTCTCGGCTCTGATTGGTTGTTTTCATTCACAGATTATCCGTCTCATGTGCTACTGTCGGGATATAGTGAAAAGTTTGAGCAAATATGCCACAAATTATTATTTTATTTTTTTTAAATTACATAATGCGGCTTTAACCATACTTCAAGTTTCATTTATAAGTGCTGTATGCAGTGCAATTCCTTATTTCCAAAGAGAAAAAAAGATGGGGAATTCCAGATGTTTTTTTCCTTTCATAGAAATTCGGATTTGTCAGTCACGTTGCATCTGAATCACTTCTGGCAACTTCCCTTATCTTCTTTTCTCGCCGTTTCTATATTAGATACAAAACAAACTTGGCAAGCACTAACCACAGTATTAACAGAAAGATGTTTTTTTGTGAATGTTTGTAGAATTTTACCTAATAAATGAAATTTATTACATTAAGAACAAACTTTACGAGCTTTTTGAACAGTTAAATTTGTGTACAAAAGTGTTTCTACTGCCTCGTTTCATTGATTTAACTGGGAATACGACGGACTTTTAAGAATAACTGCACAGACACAGCCAATCTTCTTGCTGATAGTCTTGTTTGTTGTTGGATTCAATATTAAGTTTTTTACTTTTTCTTCATGTTGACTGTTTTAGTAGTTTCAGTAGTGTGTGGTTGTGAAGATGGTCGTGGTTGGGAGGGGTATGTGTATGTCTGGGGTGGGGTCAGAATTGTGTTTTTGTTATTGCAGGAACCCAACATTCTTGTGGTGGTATTGAAGTGCAGTTATGTTATGTGCCTATGTATGCAGTACCACACAGCCACTCTAATGGAAACCCTCCTCTTGTCTCCAGCCATGCGAATGACCAGACACAGGAATGCTCAGTGGTTGTTTGATTACTTTTCGTTTTTAATGAGTTTAGAGAGTGTGCCTCTGAAATGTGTATACATGCATGTTTGTGTTGGTGGCCCGTTTGGTGTCTCAATAATGAACATGAGGTTGGTATTAGCAGTGACACTGAAGCCTTAGACATCTGTGAGTGTGATTAAACCCTTCGGTCTATGTGTCTGACTGAGCGGTCAGAGGGGGTTCTTGAGGTTGTTCCCGGCCAAGAGGGTCCTGCGGGGTTGAAGTCGTTAGTGTGTGCTTTTCTAGTAAAAGTGGGCACTACATTAAGGGACTCTCACAAGCAGCTCTAACTAGACAACAAGACCAGGCAACCTCCGAGGTCAGACATTGCGGCGCAGCTCCGCAACGCTCCACTCATCCGTTCACAATGGGGATTTGGTTGCTAAATCTGTCAGTTCACTTCATGGCCCTGTGCTGCCTCTGTACGCCCTCAGAGCCACATCACATAAAAGTTTTTTCTGCCAAGAGGTCAGAGAAGCAGGCTTTCGTTCACCTTCTAGGAAGGGAAGTGAACCTGTGGTCACACTGGAAGTAACATAAACAATGGGTGGCTCTGTTCTGTCTTCTTGTGGCGTTCTAATTCCCCTTATTATAAGTGTGTGAAGTAATTGCAACTGACAGTCATGTTCATGTGAAAAATCCTGATGTATATTTTACGCAATATTTGCTTGTGATTCAAGGTAAGACTGTGAAAATAAAGATTACGTGGATGTCACACAGCTGAAAGTTACGTGGCGATTGTAGGTGAGGACTTTTCTTAGTGCAGGCAGGCATAAGGTTAAAAATGTAATCCACTGTTTACTCTGTTAGTGGAGCTCTCCAGCTGTATCAACTGCACTTTGATCTGTATTTGTCCCATTTTGATAAAGTGTGGATTGTGGGAAGGTCCCTTGTGGACATGGATACCAGTATCATTTTGAGCCGTGTGAAAGTATGATTAGCTGACTTTTTCAGTTCTCTGTGCTTCATTCATTGATAAGTTGTATTATATTAATAGATGCTGCAGCCTTTTAAAGAATACTTTTTTATTATTAATGGTTTATTCAAAATATTGTTCAGCACTGCACTATATGCTGCAACAACTTAGTGGTGATTGGTGACTAAATGGCTGGAAAAAGCTCCTTGATAAAGAATTTAACAGCTCTGTGTTCATTGCTGTGATGCAACGAGTCTTATTATTTTCTTCTCCCTCAGTCTCTCAAAAATCTAGTCAGGAGGAGTTCTGTCTGAACCCAGAATGCATTGAAGCAGGTGAGGATTGGTGGTAAACACCTCTTCCATAATGTTAGTAGTAACTTATCTGTTGCTTAAAGGTTATTATTTCACTGGGTTGTGTTTTTTTTTGTCTCCCTTCACCTTGTAGCGGGATCTATTCTAAGTAAAATGGATCAATCCGTTAACCCCTGTGATGACTTCTATAGTTACTCCTGTGGCGGCTGGTTAAAGGAGAACCCGATCCCTGAAGATTCCTCCTCGTACGGCATCTATCCCTGGCTGCGGCAGCATGTAGATATCCGACTCAAAGGTGTGCCTACCCACACATTTTCCATCAACGCCTGAATTCATCCACCTTGATGGAAGCACACTTGACTTAAACAAGAGCTATTTTATACACATGAGAGGAAATAGCAAAGAAGTGAGCTAATTTGTCATGTGAATTTGAATAGATGCCATAAACAAGATCAAAGGCACTCTTTATTTTAAAACAGAAATGTCTGTTTGAAATTTATTGACCCCTTGTTGTAAATGTATCTGCATTCTTAAAAGAGTACTCCACTGATTTAGCATTACACACATTTTAGGTCTCATGATGTACAGTTAAAAAATAATAAAAATCCATGCAGCAGATTATTCTACACATTCTTCTTCCTTGTCAAAACCTACTTCAAAAGAATCAACTCTAAATTGGGCCATTATTTACAAAACATATTGTGTTGCACAGAGGAAGACCATAAAGTCATTAGGAAATTTACTGAGCTAATAAATCAAGTGAGAAGTCGGCTGATTTCAGTCTTTTGTTACAGCCAATGGAGCTGCACCCTGCTGGCCATTACATAGAATGCATGTTTAAGACACTTCCGCGTTGGCTTCACCTCACAAACCAGGATAGCTTCCTGGTGGTTGTGCATGATATATTCTGTCACTGGTGCCTGCATTACCCACAATACGACTTGACGGCTTACAGTTGGGTTGGAGATGTTGGTATGTTATGCTAGTTGCGGGTAATGTAGGCTTGAGCTGCTAGCCTCGGGCACTGGTGAGGAGCAGGGCTACAGCAGTCTGTTATGGTCATTTCTCTCTGACTCTACACCAACAGATTTTTAAAATTTCAAATTTGTAGTCAACCAATGCTGAGCCAAATTACATCACTTGAGGGAATATCTTAGACTTCACACAGATCCCTCTGGAGCCACAGAAGGCTTTTTCACAACTTTCACATATTGGTCTGTAATTTCCCAGCTTGGGATCAATAAAGTATATCTGTCTATCTATATGCAGAATCACTGCCCAATACCAGTAAACAGACTTTGAAGTGTGAAATCAGTGGAGTGACATTAAATCGTTATGATATTATCACTTATTCACAAGGCAAGACTTACTTAAGGATTATGTTACTTCTGAAATAAAAATGAAAATCATGTATGCTGAACATGTCACAGCTTGTTCTCCTTTCCCTGTCAGAGTTACTAGAAGCTCCTTCAGACCCTGATGAACTGGAGGCAGTGTCCAAGGCTAAGATCCTCTACCGCTCCTGTATGAATGAGAGTGAGTCTAACACGCACATACAAACCCGATTTTGTCACTTAAGAGGACATTGCACTGACGATATTTAATTCTCTCGAGACTTAGCCTCACCCAACTCACTCAACTTACTACCCTTATCTTAACCCTAACCTAACTCTAAACAGAAGGTGGGTCCCCATCATGTGACTTTTTTTTCCCACACACTTGTACAGCACTTGTGGGGACTGTTGTTTAGATAATGCTCCCCTGCCCTTAACACAGCCCTAACCATCCCAACTACATGCCACTTAAACTAACTTAAGTCTAAACCTAGTTCTACCCTTAACACTAAACCCAAGTCTTCACCCTCAAACACCTCTTTGAACATGTTAGTGCCAGCCAAAATGTCCTCACAATTCAAAACATCCCCACTGTCCATGTCTACAAACAGGTCCTCACAAAGATATGGTAAGTCAGGAGCACACACAAAGACACATTAATAGTATAAAATAGGGCAAGAAGAGCTTTTATTGATCTCCATGACAGATCTAGGTCATTGCTGAAGCAAATAGCTGTAAGATACATCCGTTGAAAAGAGGGAAATAGCATTTAAATGGGACGAGAGAGAAAATAATAAACAATAATCAAATCAATATCGAACAGAATGCTGTATTTGATTCAGTTTCCTAACATTTCTCTGTGTGTGTTTACATAGCTATACTGGAGCAGATGGACACCAAACCAATGCTGAAAACCCTTAAACAGCCCGAGTTTCGGTGGCCTATTGTGGGGGATGGGCTTGGCGGGGACTATCAGTGGTCGGCGGGGCAGTGGAGCCTCTTGAAGACTCTGGCTGAGATGAGGAATCAGCACAGTAAGAGTGTCCTGATTCGCCTCTACGTTTCCCCCGATGACAAAAACTCCTCATACTACATCATCAAGGTCAGATACCCTTGTTATTTTTCTGACACATAACCCCAAACCAAATTGTTATTTTAAAAAGAGATTAAAGAGAAGGAGATAAAAGGTGCTGGTAAGTTGCTTTTAGACAGCCCCCTGATTCCAGTCTTTATTGTATGTCTTAAACTAAGAAAATTAGCTACTGGTTGTCATCATATTAAACAGAAACAAGAGTGGTATCACGTCCTCTGCAAGAAAACAAATAAGCATACTGTATTTCCCCAACTGAAGAACTATTCCTTTAAATGACCATGCTGGTGGTTTTGTGGATTTTAGCCAATTTTTCATTGCTGCAAACCATGATCCAAAACATACCATCTTTTTAAATTGATTTCCTTATCTCCAGGCAGCTGTTGGTTCCTGTTGAAGCCAGCACAGTTTGAAATGATTGACCTGTGGAGACCTGACAAATGTTGAGCCACAGGACGTAATCCAACACATCTGGCTGACTTAATTTTTGTCATTTACACTCACATTCAATAATGCAACGTTTTTTGCTTGAATCTTAGATCGTCTGAGTGAACAATCAAGTTCACTCAGACAATAATGTCTCTGATGAACAGTCTGGTAACTGCAACTGCAATCTCAGCAAGTTTTATTTTGAAAGTGTAACTGGACCTTGAATATTTATTATGCCACTGCCACACCTTACATACTTTGGCGTGATACCAGGTTGAATATGTACACAATTTGTAGTTAAAAGGTGCAACATCACTAGCATAGTATCTGTAGGTAGATACAGATTCAGTGCGTTGCGTCACATTTTTCTGTTTTTTATTGCTGCAGCAAAAGTTACAAGATAAACAAACCCAGAAAACTACAGGAACTAACCTGTGTTCCCTGTCTTTATGTAGCTCGATCAGGCGTCCTTGTCTTTGCCCTCCAGGGAAGACTACATCACCAACACTTCCTCTGCCCGCGCGGTGAGTTGCTGCTTCATCTTTCACCCCTTTTACTTGTCATCTAAAAACTCCTCTTCCTGCAGTAGCTATTTTCTTCCTGCTTGAGTGATAAATTGCAGCAGAAAAGAATTTCAGCCACTTGAAAAATCAGCAGTTAATGTTATGCTTTTATATCCGCACCTTAAAATAAGAATAAGAGCTTCTTTCCAGACCCAACATTTTCACAAATGCTAGATTGTCAAAGTGCAAGAAATTAATTGTAGGAGAGGCAGCTGATACTGATTGCCCCACTAATAGCTGCCTCATTAGTCCAGAATAACAAAGTGCACTGAGTATGCAGTTAATCATTTCTCTATTTTGCCAATATATAGGGGTCTGCATTCCCTCTGAAATGTAGAGTAGAAGTATAAAGTTGCATCACATTTAATTTACCTTCGTATAAGTCAATTTGTATTTGAGTGTTTGAACCTGGTAATGGTGTTATTTAATGAATATTTTCTGCTGCTGTGTATTTGTCCATCACAACAGATAATGATTAAGAACATAAACATTACTGAAAACCACTATCTGAGTTGTGGATATAAGTCCTTGATTGATGTCTGATGATGTCTGATGTTAGGCAGTAGTACTGACAGTAGCTTACAGCAATGAAAGAATAAATGACATTCGGCGCCCGGTTAGCTCAGTGGGTGGAGCTGGCGACCCATTGTACCCGGGGCTGAGTCCTTGCTGCACGGCACCAGGGTTCGAATCCCGACCTGCGCCCGAACGGATTTGCTCGCGTTCATCCCCACCCTCTCTGGCCCCCCTTTCCTGCTATCTCCAGCTGTCCTAGTCCAAATAAAGGCCATATAAGCACCGAAGAATATGATAGCTTTAAAAAAAAAAAAGATAAATGACGTTTTCTTTTTTCCTTTTTTTTCTGCCCCTCCCTCTCTTCTCTCTCTCTCTCTCTCCCCCCCACACACACACACACACACACACACACACACACACACACACACCCTTTCTCTCTCTCTCTCTCCAGTATCGTGCAGCCCTGCTCAGTTTGATGGTAGATACAGCCGTCATGCTGGGTGCTCCAGAGAAAGCAGCACTGACCCAGATGGAAAAGGCTCTCGCCTTCGAGACCAAACTAGCTCATGTAAGAACGTCATGTCAGATAAATATAATCTCACTTAATGTATGGAGATGATATGATAAGCCTCAAAAACCCTGGGGCTAATTAAAACCCAGCATTATTAACTCTGAAATATGAAATGGAGTGATCAACCTTCCCAACAGTATGAAGGTAAATTATCTTATTTTAAGATGCACGATCAGTGACGTCAGTATAACATTGTTCACTGTGTCTGCAGATCCTGATTCCCTATGAAAACCGCACCAGTGAGAACATGTACAACAGATACACGCTGTCTCGCCTGCAGCGCTCCATACCACAGGTACTTTAAATACCAACAACCAAATCTATTAATATCTTCTCTTATTTCACATTTTCTGTTCCATTTTATTCCAAACTATTTGTGGAAGTGAATCTGCTCTTATAAAATGACTGTCAGCACAGAATTTATAATATGCTTACATATACGTGTTAAATTATGAAAGATTTAGCGGTGTCATCGACCTCAGATTTTATGGATATGATGCAATTTATTTGATTGTGAATTTTAGTGCCATTTAGTGCCCTGTGGTTTCAGTGCTGTTCCAGAAGCGTAAAATAATTCCGGTGGAAAAACGTGTGCAATCTTCTGCGTGGTGATCATTATACTCGCCCAAAATGTACAAAAATAGTTCACGGCAAATGTTTCTTTCAAACCTACCTATATGTTATTTAAGTAACCTTTACTGTATATGTTTCCTCGTCCCCCCTCTTGTGTAGTTTGACTGGCTGGGTTTTGTAAGAGCTGTGGTGGAGTCTAAAGCCGACCCGGCTCGGTCCATCTACTCCTCTGAGCCCGTCATCGTCCGAGCTCCACACTACTTCAAGGAACTTTTCAAGCTCATTAACGCCACAGATCCTAGGTACATGCACACACACACACACACACACACACGAACACCTAGACAGAAAACACACACAGACTGATGAGCACACACTGGGGCTGGAGGGCTCCTGCCTCTTATTATAAGTATATTATAGTGCATAATGAGATTACATGTAGGCATTTAATTAATGTCCCTCCTCTCTCTCTCTCTCCAGGACTGTAGCTAACTACGTACAGTGGAGAACAGTTTTTTCCAGGATCACCACTCTGAGCCGTCGTTTCCTTTACAGATACCTGGACTTTGCTCGGGTTGGTAAATCTATGTACATATTTGATCATTTTTATTATTAAATTCATTAATTAAATTTTCCTTCATGGGTTCAGGAGCAAAAAAACCCCTCTAGTTAAAATGGAAGATGTAAAAAACGCACTGTAAAACAGCTTTTTTTTTTATTCCATTAACACATTTTTTTAGATACATGGTAAACGTATAGAAAGTGTTTGGCTGCTCAACTGTAAAAAGGAAAAATAGGTCGTAACGACTTCAGCTGCCTACATTTGTTGCTAATTTTAACTCTCACAATGCAAGATTTACCTTTTTTTTTTACCCCTAATACTGAATTCCTTGTTTATTTAACAGTTAGTATAGAAGACAGTAATGTTCTTGAACTACAACCTGGGGGAGTCTGGTGGATATTTTATAGGCTGATTCCAGTATATTTTTGACCCAGTATATGTAATTTTGATTCCTTTTAGATCATAAATAAATAAAGGATTCTATATTTTTCTGCAAGAATTTCCTCCAAGCAGTGTGAACAGGGCTTTCAAACTGCATTGAGGCCTTCATGTTGGGAAATAAAATGTACATATAATTTACTCATAAAAATCCAAACAATAAAAAACATAAAATACTTTTTACAGCCGCACTATACAGTTTTTGTACCTACAGGTACAGGTAGTAGAAGATATGACTTAAACTACATATACAAGGAATATGACTGTCCTTGCTCTCATACATACACAGAAATAGACTTCAATAAACATACATGCAGCTAAAAACAAGGACACTGAGGTTTTTTAACGTTGCTCAATCTCTGTTTTTATGTCCCCAAATGAGCATGACAGTAATTAGAGAGCTGGGAAATTTACGTGATTTTTAGTACTACAGTTTTCTATTTGGAAGACCTCAGAGGGAGCTCAAAGGGAACTTTGAAGCATGCCATAAAAACAAATTATGTCGTATGTAAAAGAATGCTATACTTAAAAAAATATCAACGTCTGGGTTGAGAAACTTTAACAGTGTAAGTTAATGCCATGCAGAGGAAGAGACAATGTCACCTTGCATCTCTCACACTCCCACCAGGTAACCACGGGAACCACCTCTCTGACCCCGCGCTGGGATAAGTGTGTTAACTACGTCGAGAACTCGCTTGTTTATGCCACCGGGCGCCTCTTTGTCAACACACACTTCCAGGAGGACAAGAAACACATGGTGCGTGTGTGCTTTATGTGTGTAGACATCATGACATCATGTCCTCAATCGTGTTTAATTTTTGGATATGTTTAGTTGTGTAACAGATGTGTGTGTCGAGTGTATTTTGTCTGCGTGTCACCTGGAGATGATGTCAGACAATTTAGCTCAGTGCCTTGTGCGTCAGTGTGGCCGTGTGTTTATGTGGCAGTGACACTGAGTGCTTTATTTTTTTTGGACACACCTATGAGTGTGCGCGCGCATTTGTGTCAGTTTTATGTGCACACATTTAATCCACTGGCAGTTACTAATTAATTTGAGTGTGTGTCAGATGGAGGAGCTGATCGGGGGCGTTCGCTGGGCGTTCATCGACATGCTGGAGAAGGAGAACGACTGGATGGATCAACCAACGAAGAAGAGAGCCATAGAGAAGGTGAGGACAGCTGACAGCTTCATCACCACTCGTCACTTCTTCCCCACGTTTCTCCACCTTTTTACCCTCAAGTCTGATCTGTATTCTCCAATCAAAAATGTTTTTGCTTTAAACTTAAAGCTGCATTAACGTTTTTGGCCACTTGGGGGCAGCACATGCAAATCATCTGACTCTTAAGCTGCTAGATGTTTGACTTCCTTCACCAACTAGTTGGTAATTTTGTTTGTCTACCATTTCTTTGGGGCGTGCTGTGGGTTTATCAGAGCTTTCTAGCTGAAAACTAGGTTGGTGAGAGCTGTAAGAGTGAACCAAAACATTGAGCTGAAAGGGGGTAAAATAGTTTGTAGAGGTGAGGGGACCTGCTAGGTTGTTGGGTGATGATTTTCTGTGGGTTCGACACATACAAATAGTCCTGTGATTGTTAATAAACACCTTATCCTTAATTGTTTGGTGCAAGATTTTTGCTCTCAACTTAAAACTGCGATTCTGACCACTTGGGGGCACTTCTGTTTAAGGGCCCATCAACATATCTGGCACTTAAGCTGTTAAATGTGACATAAAGCCAAAATAATTAGCTAAAAGAGGCTAAAAGGCATAGTAGAACTGCTAATTCTCTCTGGGTTTGTCAGAATGAGTGACCACTTTCATTTTTATTTATTCTTCAGCTTTAAACCAGAATTTTGACCAACTTGTAATGAGACTCTTGTTCTTGGAGACTGTGGTGTCTGCGTTGTCTTCTTCATCTCATTTCATCATGAGCGGAACACAGCAGTGCCATGCTGTCCTTCATTTTAATGACTTAGAAAGTGTAGAAACATTGACTTTTAAAATGTTCTTTGTTCCTTTCATTCCTTTCCTTTTTTCCTCGAACCAAACTACTCATCATCCACCAACTGTGCAACATCAAAAATGTTGAAAACATTTAAACAAACCAGGCATTTTTCTTATTACCACAAGAAATGACTTGCACAGTTCAACAAAGACTTAAAAATCCAACATCAGTGCATTTCGAATGTCGTTTTGAATATTGTCCCTGCTGGCTCTTTATTTCTTATGTAACATGGCCATTGTAAGGGACTCTGGAACAGTCTTTGTCAGGGCACCGTGATTCTTAAAGTCATCAGTCTTGATTGCTTGTTATAGAGTTCAATATTATTCAATGTTTGCTCTCACAGTCAGTTACTTTGAATGAGTGTCTGATAAACTTATTTATGATTATATAAAAACCTGTTTCAACTCTCCATTACGTCCACTTTGTTGTCTTGCTCTCTCAAGGCTCATGCAGTCCTGGCTAAGGTTGGCTACCCCGAGTTTATTCTGAACGACACCTACCTCAATGAAGATTTAAAGCAGGTTTGTATTGCACTGCTGTAACACAGCAATTGTACAACAAGGGTTCAGAAATGAGTTAATGGCTCAGGGGGGGAAAATCACTGTAAAATGGAAAAATAAATGCTTGATGTTTGATTTTTCTTACTTTTATTATCCATTCACCCTTAAATGTGCCTTCAAGTGATTCATGGGGTGAAATAATCTCACCAGTATGTCTCAGATGCAGCGCTTTTGGCTAAGAAAATAATTGAATATTAATCTTTAAAATTCTAAGAGTTAAGAAAAACACAGATGGCAAGCTGGCAGTAACTCAGAGAGGCTGCTAAAACCACATTTCTTAACCCTAGTTTAATTTGGGGATCATTTTTGAAACATTGAATACTAAACAGTGTATATTTTCATTTTTGTATGTTTTAGCTACAGTTCAGCGAGAAGGACTACTACGATAATGTGATGCAGACGTTGAAGTTCATCGCCCAGTCTGACATCGCCTGGCTCCGAAAGAGTGTCCCACGTACAGAGTGAGTGGCAGGACGGATCTGTCAACCTGCTGTGTGACTTCCTGTGTTTTATATCCTTGTTGACGTGCCATAATGTCTGTCTGTGTGTGTGTGTGTGTGTGTGTGTGTGTTGCAGGTGGTTTACCAACCCAACAACTGTGAACGCCTTCTACAGTTCCTCCACGAATCAAATCAGTAAGATACAGCATGTGATTGATTACTTAGACGCCAATTTTTAAATGTAATTATTTGGAAAATATTGACTTCTCAGGCTCTGTCCAGACGGCGCAATGGTACACTGCACCTCAGTGATTTCAATTAAGTTTCTGTCTGTGATAAATTTTTTGGGGATTATTATTCACCAGAAATGGCTGAGTAGGCATTTTAGTGTCAGAAATAATTAGGAATTTGCATTAAACTAAAACTGATAGGAAGGGTGCTTCCTAAAACAGGTAAAATGTGATCTGTTTTACAATAGTTACTCCTATAAGAAACTACACTTTTTCAAATTCTGTGCCTCATACGGGGTGAAATAGAAAAAAGGAGCCGTTGAAAATAACCCGACCTTTTGCAGTAAATGAATCCTATCTGGACACGGTTAAAGACACACAAACAAAAAGCTATTTTGAAATTCTCTTTCAGGATTCCCTGCTGGAGAGCTTCAAAAACCTTTCTTTTGGGGAAGAGAGTATCCAAGGTGAGATTAAAGAACTGTGACACACTCCACAAACAGACCAAAGAAATGCCACCTCATGCTTTACTCAGGAGCAATGTGGAGCTCTGAAATAATTATTCTGACATGGACCTCAGAGAACCACAGAGAGGAACTGTAGTGGTATGGCCTGTGGATAAACAGCCCAATTTAATTCCTCATGCTCCACAGATCGTGAAATTACAGGTCATTAGCAATTTATGTTTCTTAATACGTTAGGTTTCATTTTAAGACCTATAATATACTGTATATTTTAAATATTCATTGGTAAATATTTCACAACCATAAATGATTTAGTCCTCTATACTTTCATACAGTATAAAAACGTGAAAGTATAAATATTTAGCCATCCGGAGACTTAAATTATTCATAATCTTAACAAGTTTTTCAACAGGATGTTGAAGCAAATCTAATAATGACACCAAACTGTGACAGTCAATGAGAGTGACATTCCTAAAAATAGAGCTTGGATTACACTGAAGGCCTGGTCACACCAGTATGTGGCACAGTTACATCTCTGCATGCATCTTTGCAAAATATGATAGCGAGCTCTGATTCAGAAGATTCCTCCTTGCTGCAATCCATTTTATTGATCCTGCAGCAATTCAATTTGAATTAAATGATTTTGTCACAAAATGTTGCTGCTGTGACTGTGGTATAACTCATTTTTCTCAGAAAAGAAGCCATATGACTACAATGCATCCCCTTTTTCTGTTTCCAGATCTTTAAGTTATGGCGCCATCGGGGTGATAGTAGGACATGAGTTAACACACGGGTTTGACAATAACGGTAAGTACTGATCGCCAAGAATGACCTCAGAAAACATCCACAATAATGTAGGAGATTTCTAACACAGTGTGATTTTTGTGTGTAATGCTTTTCATGAATAGGTCGCAAGTACGACAGCAACGGCAACCTTGACCTGTGGTGGAGCAACGCATCCATAACAGCCTTCAATGAGAAGACCCAGTGCATGATTGACCAGTATAACAGCTATCACTGGGAGGAGGCAGGATTGAATGTAAGAACCTGAGTTTGAAATCATTAAAATGCATGCATATTCAAATAAAGACCAAGTCAGGCCTGATCCAGAATGACCTTTTATGGTGCTAACCTTTGGAAACACTCGGTGGAAGGTATGTGAGAATCTGTGCTTTGTGGATGTTTTCCTTCTGTAGGTGCGGGGTAAGAGGACTCTGGCAGAAAACATAGCAGACAATGGAGGAATAAGAGAAGCTTTTAGGGTATGATCTGTTTTCTTACACAACAGTCTCACTCTCTTGGATAATCTGTCTCCACATCCGCAAAAAATGCTAAATAGGCCTTTCTAAGACATTATGACCTTTCATACGGAAAATTCCAGGTGTTTATTAGTCAAACCTTTTTTTGTTATTATTTTTTTGTTTATTAGGTACCTACGTTTCACAACTCAAACTGTCTTTGTGTGAAAGGACTATTTATAAAACTTTTCCAGTTGTCATGTTCAGAAGTCCAGGTGAGGAAACTTTCCCTGTGTATTTGTGTGCAGGCGTACAGGCGGTGGGTAGATGAGAGCAGAGGTGGTGTGGAGGAGCCTCGGCTGCCTGGAGTCGGACTGAACAACAACCAGCTTTTCTTCCTGAGCTATGCACACGTGAGGACACACACACACATACACATACACAGATGGGAGATATTTTTGCCAGTATCTCTGCCAGTGCTTCAACCAGTAAGAGCCTTTCTGTGCACTGATCATGTCTGAATATGTATCCACTTACTAACATAGGGTAATGTCAGGGTATGGTAAGGTTTACATAAAAACTGTTGAGTTTTGGTCAAAGTAAGTTTCTGTTTGAACTTTTGGTGTAGTTCAAACATTAAATTGTATGAATTTAAATAGTTTTTTTATCCGTATGAGTAGTGCTGAAAAGTAACTTCTTACATTTACTCAAGTTCTGTACTGAAGTTTAATGTCGAGGTACTTGTAATTCTACTCCACAAGATTGTAGAGGTACTCTTTACTCCGCTACATTTATTTGACAGCTTTAATTACTAGCTGCATATTACGATGAAGATTGTTAAAACAAAATATAATCAACAAATAAATTACGATTTATTATTGTAGATTAAGCTACCGAGCAATATGTACACGGATCCGGTGATCCATGTGAGATTCATTTTAGATTTATTTATTTGCACAATAAAACAGAATCACGAATCAAAGAAAAGAAGTAAATTGTGCAGGTGAGATTTAAAATCCCCTAGAGGCTCATGAAAGATAATCTCACCTCAATAAGCATCACAAGCACACTTTAGCTGCCGGTGTCGAGGTAAGTGGAAACATAGATACTTCAGATAATCAAATCATCCCTCCAATGTGCTCGCACTCTGCAGGTGAGATGTAACTCGTACAGACCAGAAGCAGCCAGAGACCAGATCCAGAGTGGAGCTCACAGTCCACCAAAATACAGGTGAGCACACACACACTCACACACAC